TGTATTCCCATTCCCATCATGCTCATCTGCACCCTCAGTCCCATCATGCTGTTGCTGCTGAACCACAACAACTGTGTGGAATTATGGAAATTCTTTGCTTTTTATCTAATATTTTTTCAGTAGCTAACTACATCTTTACATCTTCTAACCTCTATTTCAAACCCAAGTAGGATGAAGTAGAAAAGATGTATGCTTTGATAATTCTTTTGTCCTAGAGGACCCAGCAATTTAATTATTTAATATACAAAATGAGAATCCCACTGTTTTATTGAACTTGTGTCTCCTTAGGTTTGAGGTTCTGAGCTTTCTTATGCTCTGTTACAACTCTGCTATTGTCTATATGCCTGCTTCTTCCTATCAGTCACTTTGCAGGATGAGTTCCAGGTGAGAAATTTGAAGTTGTTTCAGGAGTATGTTAACTTTGTATCGATGGTGTAGAGGCGAATATGTAATCAATATTCAAAGGAAAACACTTAAGTTTCGTGTATTGTTATATTTGACTTAACACTGAAGTATCTGGTTCTTTCTTATATGAGAAGTATCCATCTCTGTCCCTATCCTATGCATTTGATCATATGGTATGTTTAGTCTCATTTATTGGAGACCCATAAAGGAACGTAGATCATCTAGATCAGAAGTTTCAAACTCATTTTCATCAAGAGACACCTCAGCCTTATGGTCACCTTCAAAAGACCATTAAATCCATGGATGGAGAATCCATGGATACAGAGGGCCAACTATAATTTTTTTCATAGTGATTGGTAATCTTTAGTTTTTACTCAGTTTTGGTTCCCAGATGTTATTGAATGACTACTCCCATCACTTTTGATTATCCGGCACGTGGACTGGGGCTAATGGGAATTGCAACCCCCAGCCCTTTAGCTCTGAGGTTGGGGAAAGGTTAAAGGGTATTTTGAAATCAGACATAACTTCTACAAACCTTATATCTGAATTAATCCCACTTTCCTGACTAAACAGAATAAACAGTAACATACCAGATGTTACTGTATTATGACTGATGATTGATTGATGAGATCTAGTCATGATGTCTAATGATTAGGAATACAGGAGTTGTAGTCCAGCATCTGGAGGAGGGCCACATAAAATGACATGGAGGGCTGCGGATCTTGCGTTTGACATATGCGATTTAGATATTCTCTATTAAGTCAAGTAAACAAGATTCAGCACAGTGAATCACTGTATTTAGGCTAGAATCCAAAAATCTTTTTATTTCATTTTTTTATTTTGTATTTTCCCCCTGAATATTAGTTTGATAGTGGATTAGATTCTTTGTGTTGAAATTAATGAATAAGGAATAGAAAAGAAAAGGAGCACCCAAACTGTGTTCCTGAAAAATATATATGGAGGAAGACGAATTTGGGCACCAAGATATGCATTATCAGAGCTCAGTTCCTTCTCCATTTATCATTCTTTTAGCGGCCAAAGGGTTACTTGCTTTTGCTGATAAAGGACTATTACTATTATTATTATTTGTTATTCACCTCTCCCCATAACTGGAGACGGAGTATAAAACAGTCAAAACACAACAACATAAAATACATACATCAAACAAACACACACTATTATAAAGTAGAGACACCAAAACACATGATACAAAGAGCAAAATACAGCAAACACACAATGCAAATCTAAAACTGATGGTTCAAAGTTGACTGGGTAGGCCTGCAGGACAAGATGGGTCTTTCATTGTGTCTTAAAAGTTTGACAGCTCATTTAGCTGTTGAAGCTCTTCTGGCAGGTCGTTCCACAGTCTTGGGATGGCTGATGAAAAGGTTTTCTGGGTGGTGGTTGCCAGTCGGGTTCTAGCTGGTTGTAATAGCCACCCCTCAGAGGACCTAAGTGTCCTAAGAAGCTGATTGGGTGTATGTGTGGGAAGGAGGAGGGGAGGAATTGGCCCTCTGATTTTGCTTCTGGAGGAAACTACAGGAAAGGAGATTCCACCTGAACAGGAGGAAGAACTTCCTAACTGTGAGAGCTGTTCAGCAGTGGAACTCTCTGCCCCGGAATGTGGTGGAGGCTTCTTCTTTGGAGGTTTTTAAACAGGGGCTGGATGGCCCTTGTCAGGGGGTGCGTTGAAGGCCAACAAGGTCCACCTCTATGATTCTTTGATTCTATGAGACCCATTGAATGCAATGGGACTTCAATTAGTTTGACTCCCCCATTGATTTCACTCCTCCTCTTTCTGTATTACAGATTAGAATCTGTCTCGGTATGTACGGTAGTTAACATCATGAAAATATGTGAGTCCATTTCTAATAAACAATCTTTTCCCAGACTCTGTGTGTGTGGGTTTCCACGGCAACATGAAAAACCCTGGAAGGAAGAGTATTGCAGAGTGGTACTGGATCCTGAATTCATGGTACAACTACTCACTGGAGTCTATTATGCTGTGTAAGTATGTGAAGTTTGTATATGGAAGAGTTCCCTGGTATTAATCAAACCAGGCAGGGATGTATTTTTTTAATCACATTCCTCGAGCATTGAACACTAGCCCCTTTTGTCATTGATTTTTTCCTTCTGATTTGCCTTATGAGCCTCTATTAGCTTGTGAATCCATCAATGTAGATCCTGAAGGTTTGCACTTCTGGCTTGTTTTAGACTTATCACATCAGCATACCTTTAAAAAAGAGAATTATATACTCCTACAATTAACTGTATACATGTGAGTACACCCAAGTTGTTTGTGTGTCTATGTGCACAGAAAAAACAATAATGAAAAAAGTTGAGTCTGCCTGAATAACCCGCTGTTGGAGTACTTAACAAATAGTTAACCTTTGTTCTTTGTGAATATGTTCTTTTGTGTGATGTGCTGCTGTGGAAAATAACCTGATTGTGTATGTATCTGAAGTATATACCGTATATACTTGAGTATAAGCTGAGTTTTTCAGCCTTTAATTAGGCTGAAAAAGCCCCCCTTGGCTAATACTGGAGTCAAAGTTATTTATTATTTTACTCTGTTGTTATTCTTATTATCATTATTACATTTTTTTATTTTACTCTATTATTATTGGAAGGATACGTAAGTGCATTTACATTGAAGAAGGTAAGAATAATGGTTTCATCAGAGTTGGACAGTCTTATCTTAAATTACAGTTTTATGTAAATATTCAAAAACATTTAACCTACTGATGCCTCAATTAATAATGTTATTGATATCTATTTTTATTTTGAAATTTACCACCTTCAGCTTATACCCGAGCCAATACGAGTTTTTTGTGATAGAATTAGGTGCCTCGGTTTATATTCAGGTCGGCTTATACTCGAGTATAGATGGTATATTTTCTACTGAATTATAATCTTACTAATGACACTGTTCAGACTGGAAGGCAAGCAGAATGCAGTTGGAATGATTGGTTGTCAATCTAATTATTGATCCCGCAAAAGTGCAGAAGACCTGTGTTCAGGAGCTGTGTTTGGAAGATAAAAGATGAGGATATAAAACGTTGGTTCAGAAAAGTAATCACTTGCTTCCTTTTTATCCATATGCAGTTACAACGGGCAGTGGGAAATTGGCCAAGAAGCGCTGGATGACATAATTTACAGAGCACAGCTTGAACTCTATTCTCAGCCACTGTTGGTAAGGGAAAGAAATGCTGCAGTCCATTGATGTGATTAAAATATGCATGCATTACTAATCTCAATAGGTTACTCCTAAATGGCTTGTATAGCATTCTGATTCTCTTTCCAATTTAATTTACTCTTCTGGGCAGTAGCATCTGTAATGCTATTTATTTTCCATTTTGTTATTAATTTTGCTATTATTTAGTTATTTAAGCTGCACTGGGAACCATTTTGTCTGAAGAGTGGGTAAAAATGCTCTAAATAAATATTCTTTAAAAAATGTCCCACCCTATATCTAAAGATCTTGGTATAGCATACAACTTGACTATTAAAGCAAATTTTGAACTGAAAAAATTACATAAACACACTAGCAAGGATAGTAAACAATTTTACAAGTTAAAGCCAAATAGTTTAAAACCAATTTAAACAGCTTAAAATAAAAAATAGCATTTCTAGAGATGTTTTAAATGATTTTGACCTAAGAGGCTTTGGAACATGAAGCCAGAATGACACTAGAATTTGCGCCAATCAGGCCTTTTTAAGGGATATTCCACAGCTGGGGTGCCACAGAGGAGAAAGCCCTCTCCCATGGCTTCACGGGGTATGTTGTTCCAACAGGTGAAACACAAAGGATGACCTTAACCCTCAGACAGGATTCTGTAGTGGGAGACTCCTTCAAAATTGAGGTCCCAAGCTGTATAGGGCTTTGAATAAGCAGACTGATATCTCATGTAAATTCAGGATGAGTGTTAAGCAGTTTCTATGCAGTGTTCTGGTTGACATCTAGCTGGTACATTTTTTCAGTATCTGTAATATCTTCAAGACCTATATCGAGCATGTTGCATTGGTTTAATTGGAAAACTACTGTCACATCAACTGCTCTGTCTATGTTATCTCTGTCCAAGGAAGACTGTAACTACAGTACAGTTTTATGAAACTAGGAATGCTTGGGTCCTAATTAGCTTGGTATCCAAGCTTCAGCCCATTGAAGATAGAGATGGGCAGGTCACCACTCAACTGAAAGAAGATTTGGAGGTAAACCAGTGAACTTTTCTTTCACTAGTGCTATTGGCCAAAGTGATCTTGGGGGAATGAAAGGAGGGTGAAAGTGAAAAATGTGTCAAGAGGAAGGCATGTCAAGCCAATCCTTGTTGGGACTGTCTTCCATCTGGAAATTGATGTCCTTATTGCGAAAGAACATGCGGATCAAGAATCGGTCTCTACAGTCTCCTATGGACCCACTGCCAAGACCCTACTTACTTAGGTGATCCTTTGTAGCCTGAGGTTGATAGCCCTCCAAGTTTAGTGTCTTGGCAGTGGAAACGTAGGTGACCGTGGAGACCTATTCTTGATCCACATGTTCTTCCGCAGTGAGGACATCGGTTTCCTGGTGGAAGGCGGTCCCGATCAGGGTTGGCTTGATGCGCCTTCCTCTTGGCACGTCTCTCCCTTTTACCCTTCATTTGTGCCTCTTCGAATTCCACAGCACTGCTGGTCACAGCTAACCTCCAGCTACAGCACTCGAGGGCCAGGGCTTCCCAGCTCTCGGTGTCTATGCCACAATTTTTAAAATTAGCTTTAAGCCCATCTTTAAATCTCTTTTCCTGTCCATCAACATTATGTTTTCCCTTCTTGAGTTGGGAGTATAGTAACTGCTTTGGGATGCAGTGATCTGGCACTTGGACAATGTGGCCAGTCCAGCGAAGTTGATGCCGTAGGAGCATCGCTTCAATGCTGGTGTTCTTTGCTTCTTCCATCACACTGACATTTGTCTGCCTGTCTTCCTAAGAGATTTGCAGGATTTTTCAGAGGCAACATTGATAAAATCGTTTCAGGAGTTGAATTGTGATGTTTGTAGACAGTCCACGTTTCACAGGTGTATAGCAGGGTTGGGAGGACAATATCTTTATAAACAAGCACGTTGGTTTCGCTACGGATGTCCCAGTCCTTAAACACTCTCTGCTTAATTCGGAAAAACGCTGCACTTGCATAGCTCATGCGGTGTTGTATTTCAGTGTCAATGTTGACTTTTTGTGGAGAGGTGGTTGCAAGGTAGCGGAAATGGTCAACATTTTCTAATGTTGCACCATTAAGCTGTAACTTGGAAGGCAATCATACTTGGCCACGAATGATAGCATGTGGTGATGATGATGGGCAGGAAACCACTCAAGAAGATTTGGAGGTAGACCAGTGAACTTTATTTTCACTGGTGCTCTTGGCCATACTGGTCTTGGGGGAATCATACACATGTTTGCTTTGTTTCCAGAGTATAAGTGGAACTTGGTGTATCGGTTTTTGAAAAGGGCCATATAGAGGGATTAGCTTGATCTAGTTTCTGATGGCCAGCACTATGCCACTCTCACCTTCACTTCTTGATTCAAAGAAAAGCAGATTATGACACAGCAAAGGAAAAAGGTCCTGGAGTTAGAAAGCCAAGATTTCTACTACCAAGTACTGCTGATAATATAGCTCCTGCTCTGTTGAAGATTCAAGCCAAGCTGGAACTTAAATGAAGGGTGGTTTGCCTTCCAGTCTTGAAATAAATTTGTGTGGAAATGGAAGAAACATCTTCTAGTCTGGCATGTTATTTCCCCACACATCTATCTCTTTGAAGGCCAAGGTAACAGGATCAGCAGTTAGTAATCTGGAGAGCTTTCTCAGGCTGCCTGAAGTGTGTTTATCTGCTTGCTGTGAGCCCCTCTACTTACAGCCCACACTTGTATGTTTGCTTTGGCAGAAGGAATAGTAAGCAATACAGCGGCTGTACATGTTTTTATTTGGCTATTCATGGGAATGAGTATGGTTAGACATTGCAGTAAGCAGAAACCTTATCTTTTAAAAGAAAAACATGGCTTACCAGGCATGAGTCTGTGAGCTGGTCCATGCTGTTTGACTGTTCTTGCTTGCTGTTGCCCCTCCCTGCAGAGGCCATTTAAACAAGCTAGGGACTGTCCATCTGAGATTCATTTAGTGTGAGATTCAAACTGGCTACACAGCAGCTGGAGTCGTAAGCCATGGTTTGATCTTGGCATATGATGGTACTTTGTCTTTTCCTGAGAACTGAGATTTCCTATTTCAGATATCACATTGAAACAAAACATGGATGGAGAGTCCTCACTATTCTGACTAAGAGAAAAGAGCCAAGTGAGCAGGATGAGAAGGATGCAGACCTCTTTATGGTTAAATTAGATTTTTTGGGGGGAAAATGTTAACCAGAAATTGTATTACACATTTACTTTTAATTGATGTTATTCATGAACAAATGTGTATTTATTTTTAGGTAAACAATGTTTATTCTCCCCCATTTGTGAGCTATTTTGTGAATGGCACACAACTAGCAAAGATTTGTGATTCAGCATGGCTGACATTCACCCACTCCTAACATGAGAGGCTTGTGCCAATGGTTATTTTTCTCCTTTACCACGCAGCTGATTTCTCTGCCATAGCATATAATGTTTAACATTTTATTTTTCTACCTCTCACATTTTCAAAACCAGTTTGCTGTGCAGAATCAACAGAAAAGCAAATTTGATGTTTCTCTGGATTCATAATTAAGTTGTTGGCTTAACCAAGTCTGGTCTTCATGCTCTAGTTAGTTATTGACATATTAACGTGTGAATAACAGCAGCATAAATAACGTTCCAATATATAAGATATTGTGATGATAAGCAGAAAGTTTAGATGACATCTGATGGGGTCGTATGCAGTCCTTCAGCATGGTTGGGAGTTGAACAGATACATAGTTTGATTTTCTCTAGTTCGGGTCCTGCCTATCTTTGTGACCACATTCCCACCTATGTACCTGTGCAATTGTTAAGATCTTCCAGGGAGACCCTCCTCGTGGTTCTGCCACTGTCACAAGCGCGGTTGGTGGAACAAGGGAGAGGGCCTTCTTGGTGGTCGCCTCCTGGCTTTGGAATGCCCTCCCCAGGGAAATTAGGCAGGTCCCCACAGTGTCCTCCTTCCATAAAGATTTGAAGACTTGGATATTTAAACAAGCCTTTGAGAATGTCTAGCCCCAATTGTCTGCAATTAATGACACGACACTGCATTTTTATCCCATGCTCTTGGTTCTTAGCTACAATTTGCACTATCCCATTCCCTCTATTGCTTACCGTTTGGCCATGTCTTACGGCAGTTGTCACCATAGGTTATTGGGCATTGTTCTGAGTTTTAAATTGTTGTGTTTACGTGCTATTGGTTTTATTTTTGTATTGTACTGTGTGTTTATTTTATGCATTGTTTTTAGGCACTTAATCTCATATGTAAGCCACCCCGAGTCCCTTTAAGGAGATGGAATTGGGGTACAAAATAAAGTTATTATTATTGTTGTTATTATTATTGTTGTTGTTATTATTATTATTATCCTCAGACCTCACCTCTGAGGATGCTTGCCATAGATGCAGGCGAAACGTCAGGAGAAATGCCTCTAGAACATGGCCATATAGCCTGAAAAAAACCACAAGAACTGAATTATTATTATTATTATTATTATTATTATTATTATTATAGTTTTATACATATAATTTTGCACAGATAGGCAGTTATGGTACCTAAGAAATAAGACTCCCAACACACATTTTGGGGTCTCAAATATTAGCCCTGTTTCTGGGTATATTTGACCTGCTGATTCCAAAAATTGTACCAGTTTTACCCTATCGGCTCTAGTTTTGAGATACAGAACATATTCCATCTGCCAGTCTTTATCTGCTTGCTCATAGAAAATCATAATAACCATAACGTAAAAACTGATGAAGTAGTTGATTTTACCTATATGTACACATACATACAAAGAAAGAACTGATATTGAAATGGGAGTTCAACATCTTCCTCTATGAGTGATGATGGACAAGATGAATATATAGAGAAAATGGACCAATGGGCCAGCAATTAATTTATGTAAAAGTGTCACTTTGACAAGGAAGCAGTAATATAGGCTGGTGTCAATTCCTGTTGCACCCATCATCTCCTTCTACCTGTGCCCTTCCCTGCTAGACTATCTATGGATAGGGTAAGACAGGTTTGAGACAGGTTTGCAGCTGCTAATGTGGAAGGATGAGTATTTTGTTTTTGTAATTCAACATGTGTATTGGAGATGGCATTTAATTTTGTTGTATAATGTACAATGACAATAAAATTATTCTAAAGATGTAAGGCAGAGTATTGATACAAGATGTATTTCATAAACAACGAAGTATTGCTAAATCATATATTCTTGCAGAAGAATCAACTAATCATACTGAAGGAAAATAAGTATGTGTGGAGGAAGCAGAGGTTTAAATGCTAGCCTTTTGGCAAGGGAATACTGTGGGATCATTTCTTGGCAAATGAAAAAAGCATTTTAATCTTTCCAATAAATTTAGCTAAATGTCCCTCTTAATGAATTACTGTTGGCAAGGATATATAGCTGTATGTTTTTCAATATAGCAATATAAGTCCTCACAGTAAAATGTCGGAGCAGGTTTTTTTTCTTTTAGACATGAGTGAATGCACTACTAGATAGAAAATGTAAATAAAACATTGCACTTCTATGGGGCTACCTCTGATAGCAGCTAGACTAAAAAGCTTGAAGGTGGATTGATATTTCAGCTTATGTTTCATTTTTGAGTAAAGCTGAGCAGTGAGCCCGATAGAAACTTAAACTGACAGCTATTCCTGTTTGATTTGCCTTATTTTGTAGTACTAATATAGGAGCAATCACATCTTCCTTTCAATCATTTGTTAAATGTATTGTCGAAGGCTTTCATGGCTGGAATCACTCAGTTCTTGTGGGTTTTTTCGGGCTATATGGCCATGTTCTAGAGGCATTTCTCCTGACGTTTCGCCTGCATCTATGGCAAGCATCCTCAGAATCATTTGTTAGTTCTTTACAGCCCACTTTCTTCTCTTGGAAGTGTCTTCTTTTAATTAAATATTAAACTGAGTGCAGCTTATTTCCAAAGAGGTCTTAAAAGTGTTAATCGGGTCCTAGAAGGATGGATTGTCTGCCTGTGACCTTGAACATTCTTGTTCTCACATTCTGTTTCATTTTCCCCAAAGAGAAATGCAAGTGTCTGGCTTCTTACAGTAATGCTTTAAATAATATTTCAAATATGATTGAAAATACAGGTCTGTATTGTATCACACAGGGATTCTTAACTTGTGGCCCTAGGACCCCGAGGGGGACATAGATGAGCTCAAGGCATCAGTGAACCATAGGAAGAGAGATATATGTTTTTCTTTTTATTCCCTTCTAGTTACAAATATTGTGTTTAACTGCATAGCTTTCATCAGATGCTCTGAGGGGACCATGACACTATAAAGCCTAGCTACTGCATTAGCGTCACATGAATGTGCCTTGTGCGTCTCATTTCCCACCTACCTCTTTCCTCCTCTGGGAGTATATTAATAGCTTTCGTTTTCAATTAATCATGGCTTATTTTTATATTTGGGGTCATCTTTCAGTACAGGGAGTCCCTGAGTTACAAACAGCTGACTTAAAACTGACTCATAGTTACAAACAGGGTGAGACAACAGGAAGTGAGAGAAATCTACCCATTGGAAGGGAAATTCACTCCTGAAAGAGTTATCATGGGGAAAAGGTGTATCCACTGAAGCTTTATCACCAATCCTTGTTTCCACAAGCCAATTTTTTTCAAAATCCAGTGATCTTCTGATCAGGGGCACAGACAGCAAAAAAACACTACATGGGTGTTAACCCTTCCCTTTGTTATACAATTTCATATGTATATGTATGTGTGTGTGTGTGTGTGTGTGTGTGTAGATATATATATATAGAGAGAGAGAGCGCACATATATGTGTGGATGGACAGACAGACAAATAGATAGGCTGGAGTTACACTTAAAAATGTACCTGTTCTGACTTCCAAACAAATTCAACTTAAGAACAAACCTACAGAACCTCTCTTGTTCTTAACTGGGGGACTGTCTGTACTTCACTTTTTTTTCCACAGCAAAGGCAGTAATCATGCAACCTTCCAAGTTAAACTGTTGCCCACAACACCCATCAGTATTGACTATGCTGGTTATGACTGAAGGGATAGCACTGTAACATAATTTTCACACCTGCCATACAGTGGTGTAGAATATCTCTCTCTCTCTCTCTCTCTCTTTCAATTGGGAAAAGTAAACATCATGATTTGGCATTTTATCTTGTATTTTATAGTTAGCCACATAAGGGACTATTTGTAATGGAGAGCAAACAACAACAACAGCAAATTATTATCATGTGGGTGCTGCACTCTGCCCTGCCCTTCTTTCAAGGAGGGATCGTGAGGTTTTCTTTTCTTAATTTTGACAATACAGATGTCAATTGGGTTTGTTTGAGTATAACTGGTCCTAAGTCTCACAGCAGGCGTCTTCTGCCTATTAAGCATAACCTCTTGGATTGCAACGGTAAAGCTTTCTCACCATTTCCTTATCCTGTCTTTTAAAATATCGGTTTGTGGAAAGGTAACATTTATATAAGGTTTTCCTGTTTTCATAGGTTGCAAATGCTATGAAGAACTCATTACCCTTTGATGCTCCAGATGCATCACAAGGAGGACAGAAGGTCTTAAAAGTAGAAGTTACTCCAACAGTTCCGAGAATTTCTCGGACTGCCATTACTACGGCTTCAATCCGTCGACATCGCTGGAGAAGAGAAGGTAAAACTTACTTTACTTTAATGACGCATTTTTCACATACATTGCTTCAAACTGATTTCTGAGCTTGATTATTAATATCAATTTCATTAGTGTACATAAGTGCAGATCATTTTCATACACTATCTGCATGAATGTGTAATTATGGTTGCATCTTGTGGAGGGATAAGTATTATCCTTATTTTATCTCCTGGGGGAAAGGTTTAAGTTACTTAAATAGTGTCTTGGGGTACAGAAAGTTTATTACCAGGACTTGAGATTATGGCTTATTGATAGCCTTTTTCATATGTTGTGGTATGGGTCATATTGCCTTCTGTTGCTTAAATTGCCTGAAACTGCACACTTTTCATGTAGAAAATGCCAGCGGTTTGTGTGCAACTGCGGCTAAATAGTTTCTTTGAATTTTTTATCTTTATCAAAGTATTGCATTTTCCAAAATGCCCCTTTGAATTTAATTTGTTTGATAATTTGAAATATGTATATTTGTGTGTATATGTATATATATCAAATTCCAGAATTATAGTTAAACAGAAGATAAGGGAGAATTTGTATCTGGTAAACTATGGATATATTCAGGGTTTACTGACAAACCTGCTAAATGGCACTTGAATCCTAACTAGACTGACATTATTTCTTAAGCAAAGCTTATATCATAATAATATCCCTTGGAACTCTAAATATTTTATTGTTTTAAGGGATAATACATAATAGAAGTGCATCATGTCATTGATTCTAAAAACAACATCTGTCCTTTTGCATATTCTTAGTTATGTTTGTCCTTTCGATTGATGTGCTGCTGTCTGCTGATCTGTTTTATACAGTAGAGCTTGCCTACGTATTTATATGCTGTCCACCAGACTTTTGGCATTAAAATTAAAATCAGGCGGCATGCTTGTATATTTCATGTAAACCTTCCTTTCCCTTCCTGGGTTGGAATGTTTAGGGAAAGAGTAGAAAGGCACTAAAAATATTATATGTTGAATCCCAGATGGCTTTGACTTCTCAAATGATGCTGACTTGAGCATTCCCGGATCTCCGATCCTACACGGCTCCACAGACCTAGGGATCAAACGCAAGGAAGAGGGGGACGTGCTGGTGCTCAGGAGCCCTGAGCATGCCTCACCGGAGCCCAACTTGGCAGCAGCCACAACTGAGGGTAGGACAGAGATGAGGAGGCAGCAGTCAGTAAGGCAGTGACTTGGGCAGGATCCTGGTTCTTTCTCCCCAAGCAGAATTCCTTGTCACTCTAGAGCGTGTTTCCACTTTCCCAAAGTGTACACTTTTCTCTTCTCTTTCGAATGTGCACATCTCCTGTATGCCTTGCACCACGTCGAGAGAACTTCCTTTTCTGATACTTCGTTTAATACCCAGCTTAGCATGGCTAGAATAAGGCAAAAAAACCACACCTTGCAACTTTGGGATTAAATGGAAACACCCTGTTACTGAGCATGTTAACTCTTGTTTTTCTGGGATTTTTAAAAGCAGAATAAGAAAATGCACCAAGCAAACAGATCATTTTGGAAATTTGAAACCCACTTAGGATATATGAAAATCATCATCAATCAATGAGGAGTAATTTTAAATCAAGATTTTTTTCATGTGCTGCTTTATTTGCTGAACTTTCAGTTTGCAGCATTAATCCTTGATCACGAGATTACTGTAAAAAGATCAGATATTTCATAAAGGTGAACTTATGTCACCATGTTTTTAGTTATTTTGAGATAATGCTTCTCACCAGGTTGTCCTGGTAGGTACCTTGCATCTTGTGAGAAAAGAAAAATAGTGCCTCATACAGTGATATTCTTCAGTGTATGAATTCTTTTTCATGTATATGCAGTGCATATAATTATTCTGTAGTCCCTATGGTGATGGTGTAGGGGTATTTAATTTGCTGAGCAGTCAATATATTTTGCTGTTCTTCACTTCTTCCAAATCTGTCCTCTCTTTGGTGCGGCCTCTTGGCACTGCTGGCATTATACTTTCAGAGTATGTACTGCTCATGCTTTGCACTTGCCTTAAGGAAGATTAATATCCAGCAGAGTTAATATTATGTTAGGGATGAATTCATCATGTGTAATCAGACATTTAATAGTGACAGGGGAATCAAGGCCCCAAGGGTCTGTGGAAAATTGTGGAAGCACAAAGCTTTTAGTAGTTGCTCTTGGTGCAGAGTGAGTTTGAGCATGCTCAGTAAATGAGCTCTGAGCAGAACTTTTCTCCATTTCTTTCAGCTGGTCTTATTTTGTTGTACTAACTAAACATTGCATGTGCATGACCAGACGGATGCTGTGAAATCTTCACACACTGATTTTTTTTTATAAAAAAGAACAACAATCAGTTGCTTAAGTGCTACAGCACTCCCTTTCCTTAACACTTCAGTTAACACTTAACACTTCAGTTTTTTAAAACTTTGTAATAATTTTAAATGTTGTACCGTATGTTTTTTTCCCCCCTTTGGAGCGTGCATCGTCCAATATGGTATCTGGACAGATAAAGTGAAGAGCATAGTTCTGAAAGCAGTAAATTAAAAAATAAGTTTATATTGCAGCTGAGCAGAACTTGTCTTTCCCAGGGGTATTGTAGGATTAAATAAAGAAATAGGTTTGAGTTTAGTCACAAAATCTCCAAATCCAGATGGATAGTCCAATTTCATTTCTGGTACTGTTTTAGAGTGTATGTCTCACAGAAAACTAATAAATAGTTGGTCTTCAACATTTGCGGGTTATTTTTGCAGATTTGGCTATTCACAAATTTGGTTAATATGTTTTTATTTAGGGAACCTCTTGGTTCTCCAGTGCAATTCTGTGGTCGCAAGTTGACCTTAGTTGCGATGCAAGACCTAGATATTCCCACAGAGAACACATTTCCAGGCATTTTCTAGGTTCTCCAATGTGATTCTATGGTTTATTTTCAGAGGAGGACCTTGAAATTCCTTGAGAGGTTTTCCTGTACATTTTTTAAGCTTCTTTTATTTGTTTTTTTCCACTATTGCAGGGCTTCTCCATTCTTAACACCTGCAAAAGTGGAGGATGTACAGCACTCTTGTTTAAATACGAGGGGTATTTTTTAAGTAAGGTCCGTTTGAACATAAGTACACAACGAAAGTTTATTTCAAAAAAGTAAATTTATTTTCAGAAAGTACATACTTCACTCTATTTTTCGACATAGTTGCCAAGTTTGTTCAAACACTTATCATACCTCTGAACCAATTTTAAAATACCCTCTTCATAAAAACTTGCCGCCTGCTCCGATAACCAAGAGTTCACTGTAATCAAAGAAGGGCGACCAGAGCGGTCCTCATCATGGACGTTGTCACGGCCATCTTTGAATTGTCATACCCACTTACGCACTTTGCTTTCACTCATAACAGTATCACCATACACTTCACAAATCTGTCAATGAATTTCTGCAGCAGGCAGAAAACTGTATCACTGAGCGAACCTCACATGCGGCGGGCGAGTTGATAGTCTTAAACATTTTTAAAGCACAGAACAGAACCGTACAGGTTAGCTACAGAGCAGAAACTGAGTACAGTTGTTCCCGAGGCATGCCAGTACACGATGCACATGCTCATTGCAGTATGCGCGCGAACTACTAGTGTCTACAACAAAACGGACCTTACTTAAAAAATAATGGGACCAACATTATTTCCCCTAGCTACTGATGATTTCTGATGTTACAGTTTTTTAGTGCTTTTAATCAAATATATGATATATGTAATTCTTATCATTTTTATGAAATAGTTAGTGTCAGTTCTGGATGAATATTCTGCAGATTAGCCAGAAGTGCAGCTCATCTTTGGGGGAGAAGAAATAGTGTACAAATTGTATATTTGTATATGTATTTATAGCTTGATATAAACGTAAAGGTAAAGGTTGTCCCCTGACATTAAGTCCAGTCATGTTCGACTCTGAGGGTGGGTGCTCAACTCCATTTCTATGCCAAAGAGCGGGCGTTGTACGTAGACACCTCCATGGTCTGTGTCCTTTATATAGATACAGATTTATTTATTTTTCGTCGTGTCAGGAGCGACCTGAAAAACTGCAAGTTGCTTCTGTTGTGAGAGAATTGGCCGTCTGCAAGGACATTGCCCAGGGGACGCCCGGATGATTTGATGCTTTATCATCCTTGTGGGAGGCTTCTCTCATGTCCCCACATGAGGAGTTGGAACTGATAGAGGGAGCTCATCCGCCTCTCCTTGGATTCGAACCTGCAACCTGTCGGTCTTCAGTTCTGCCGGCACCGGGGTTTAACCCACTGTGCCACCGGGGGCTCCATGGTTACTGTGATATAAGCACACTGCCATTTGCTCCAATCCATACAGATGAAGATGTATGTAAGGATTGGAGCAAATGCCAGTGTGCTTATACCACAGTAGATAATGGCATCAGCCTTGAGGCTCAGTGGTAGTTTGCAACTCTGATAAAAAAACAGAGGTTAATACTAGGTGGAGCCAAAATGAATTAATATTTAATCAGCAGAGAAAATGAGCTGTTTACTTTGGTTTTGTTTGTTTGTTTGCTTCCCTTTTTTTCTTTTCTGTCACTGATTTTAGTAAAGAAAATTTATATTTATTTTTTTGGGGAGAATTTAACTGCTTGTTTTCCCTGCCACAGCCTTGTTTTGTTTCAAGGCTTGAACTACCATAGGATAGCGGATATTGATAAACTGAATTCTGTGTATTTAAAATGATAAGGTATCAAGTTACTCAAACCTTACTCTGGAGTGTCATTGATCTGGCTTGAACGGCCCTCCCTTGCATGCTGCCTTGCCCACCTCTCACTCTGGAGTGCTGCTGGGCTGCCTGGGCTGCTGCATGGTGGTAGCATCCCAGACATTCACACTGAGCCTCTCTGACTCTTTTCTCAAAGTGGAGGGAACACCTTTCGCAAAGATGCTCTCTGGTCTACTATCTTGCTGTTTATCCTTGGGCATCATCAGACTGCAGCTGTACAGTTGGAAAGCATTGACCTTGCAGCTCATTGGACACTCCTTGTGCTCTCCATTAGAATAAGAAAGGGCTGAGAGAGGTGGTGTGTCGGTGACAGTAATAGCTGCCGCTGTTCAGCCCAACTGCACTATCATCTAGCTTTGCATGATGGTCTAATTCACTAATATGAAATGCTGCATCTGATAAAGGGTGCTTTTGTTTTCAGGGTATTCTGTCTTAGGTATGTATTAAATGGCTTTTTTTTCCTAATGGGGATGTGAAGAATACCATGTGCAAAGTGGCTATTTTTTAAATGTCTTTCCTGATGTATTGGTAAGCATTGTATAAAAAGATATAGTGCTTCTAAAGAGCTGTTTTCATTATCTAGAAATGAATAGAACAGATTCCCCGTATGAAAACTGTTGTGTTCCCCTGACTGTTGAAATTAATTCTAGATTCTTAAGACTGCCACTGTTACAATCTTTTCTCTGGAGACTTTAGAGAGATGAAAGGCAGGATAAATTGAATTAAAATTGCGTGACAAAATAGAAGATTGCACAATCATGATAATGAATTGAGCTAGAACAATGGCTTCCACGTTGTGCAATGGAAGATAGTAGTAAATTGTCAAACTACCGTAGTTGAGCATCACAGGTGCATTTATTAACTAGTTAGAGCTGTTTCTGATACAAGAGGCCAATCTTATTTACATTCTTACTTTGAGTTGGTCCTATAAATGCTTCTATACGATATCAGCATTAATGATTGAGGTTCTCACCATGTGAATGTCATAAAACGTGACAAAACTTTGTATTGGTGCTCTCTGTTTCAAATGGGTCAGATATTGGCAAGGAAATTGCTAACATCATTGGGGTAAATAAGTGCTAGTAGCTTTCAAATGACATTTCACAAGATAGAGACCATTACGAGAGAGTGTCTTAGGAAAGTGATGCATATTGGTAATATCAATACAGAGAAGCAAAGTCTGCCAAGTTTTGATAGGAATTTTCCATTAACCATCTCCAGTTTTCCATTATCCATCCAATTTTCTATTTCCATTAGCCATGTATTAGGGGAAGTCATAGGGAGGAGGGAGCTTGTTTTCTGCTGCCCTGGAGACTAGGATGCGGAACAATGGCTTCAAACTACAGGAAAGGAGATTCCAACTGAACATGAGGAAGAACTTCCTGACTGTGAGAGCCATTCAGCAGTGGAACTCTCTGCCCCGGAGAGTGGTGGAGGCTCCTTTTTTGTAGGCTTTTAAACAGTGGCTGAATGGCCGTCTGTCAGGGGTGCTTTGAATGCGATTTTCCTGCTTCTTGGCACGGGGTTGGACTGGATGGCCCACAAGGTCTCTTCCAAATCAATGATTCTATGATACAAAGCTGATTATGTACTTCCATCTTTCATACATTATAGTTTCAAAAACAACATTGTTGTGTTATTAATTTTATTAATTTTGAAATATTTCATCTAAAGGCAGAAATATTGCCTTAAAAGTGTTGGTAGCAATACTTGAGAGTATATAGTGCATATATAATATAATAGTACACATATAACTGTAGTTTTAATGTTTGTTTTTCTAAATTGCACCTCCTGAGATCATTGCTAATAAAGCAACAAAGACAGTGAAGTGGAGTGTACATGGGATGTGGAAGAGTTTTACTCCCTTTCCCCTAATGCAGTGGTTCTCAAGCTGTGGGTCTCCAGATGTTTTGGCCTTCAACTCTCAGAAATCCTAATATCTGGTAAACTGGCTGAGATTTCTGGGAGTTGTAGGCCAAAACACCTGGGGAACCACAGGTTGAGAACCACTGCCCTAATGCTTCACCCTCAATGGTTATTAGTCTTCCAAAGCTGCTAGTTTGAAAAAATAAACACATGAAATATCACATTCTATTTAATCAGTTTGATCTTTAAGACTTAGTTTCAGAAAAGTAAGCAACCCTAAACATGTCCACTCAGATAAAAATTACTTCCTTCCTACTTAGTATTATTTTGCAATCTTTGGTATGTCTTATCTGTTTCCAGAGAAAAGGTTTAATGCAGTCAGTCCAGTATATTAACCAGTAGTAGTAAATAGTAATTTCTGATAACTTCCCTATTGATATTGTTTATGGTAAATAGATGTGGTTTAAGATGTTGGGTCTCGAGATGTTTTGGGCTTCAACTTCCAGAAATCCTAACAGCTGGTAAACTGGCTGGAATTTCTGGGAGTTGTAGGCCAAAACACCTGGGGACCCACTGGTTTGAGACTTTGTGGCTACAATCCTAAGTATGTTTGGTAGGGAGGATTAAATTCAGTGGAATTTTCCTCAGGACTGCAATGTTAAGCGGTTTTCCTAAAATAAAGCTACTGCAACCCAGAGATAGGTTTAATGAAAGGTTTGATGGAACAAAGGCGAATTGTATTCAGTGCAGTCTTTAACATGCTAAAAAAAAAATCCCAGTTATGTTTTAATTTCTAAGTCTGATTTCTTTTGACTTTTAGGTGCTGAGGGTGTGAATGATAGAGAAGAATCTGTGAACCTTAATGATGCCGACGAAGGGTTTTCTTCTGGGGCATCCCTGAGCAGCCAGCCGGTTGGGACCAAACCTTCATCTGGATCCCAGAGAGGGAGCTTAAGAAAAGGAGCGAGTGGACGTTCAGCCAAGGAAAAGGAAATGGCCTCAGCCACCAAACCCATCGAGAGCCCCCGGGAATCTGGCCGCAAGCAGTACCTGCACCAGTCCATTGACCTCAGTACGGACGCAGTTGAAATGACACCTACGAAGAAACACTTGAGCCTACCTGCTGGGCAAGTGGTGCCAAAAGCCAATAGTGTGAGCCTGATCCGGACTGCTAGTGCTTCTTCCACAAAATCATTTGACTATGTGAATGGCAGTCAGGCAGGTTCCGGTGTTGGCGGTAATGGTGTCACTAACTTGGCAGCAGGCAATACCAATCGGTTTTCAACGATCAGTCTGCAGGAGGACCGCTTGGGCCAAGCTGGAAATGGGAAAGATGGCCTCTCATCAGGAGCTCCTCTGACCAAGCAGTCCCGATCCCCAAGTTTCAATATGCAACTGATATCCCAGGTTTAACTTCATTGTCCTTCCTATCTTTTTCCCGCCTTTATCCAGTTCTTCGCGCAACACCTCCAGCCATCTTCCTATAGTGTGAAAATCCTGGCTTTTGTGATCTTGTTCAATTCATTTTAGATACCATACTATATTTTGTACTGAAACAGCAATAAAACCTCCTCCCTCCCTTCCATGCCCCCGATAAATGTGGTTGTGAAGCAGTATAAAATGTACTTTTATGCCTTTTCCATGCCTTCCTTTCTCCTTGGGTGATGTGCAATCCATTGTAGGCCGATCAGTCCCATTTCAACACTGTGAGTCTTGAGAAGATCGGAGGAAATGGTGAATGTGATCCCTATAAAAATGAAGCTTTTGCTTTTTTGTTTTTGTTTTTTTGAGAAATAGAAACGGGTTAGTTTTCTCAATCTATGGTTCTGCAAAGACTACTGGATTGTGACTTTATTTTTTTGTCTCTTGGAACCAGGAGTGCCTCAGAGATTCTAGTAGGACTTTGGACCTCTGAGTTAGTGCAATCGATTCTGAGGAAGGGAAATGCTGCCATTGCTCCTGGTGGATAAATGCACTTTGATGTAAAAATGAGAGTAGTCCTTCTCTACCATCATCCACTCTTCCCCCACCCCTAAAGCATAATGTTCAACAACTCGGAGATATGTGTTATTAGGTTGTCCCTCTGTCCCACAAAGAGAGTGGGCTGTGAAATTGGCAGTGGAGATTGCAAGGCACTTTTTAATGGCGTTGTAGCCATACCAATTGTTACATGTCTTCCCCCTCCAGGACACAGGGTTGCCCTGCCTATGTGATAGGACTTTGAAAGATGAATTGTGATTTTTAAAAAAAATTGAGATGTAGAAAATAGGCATACAGACCTCCCGCAACCCATCAAAAAATTACTTTTCCTTTGAAAAGAAAGTTACGGTTTGTTAGCCTATGGTTTTTGAAATGAACAAGGACAGGTATAGCTTGTGTGATGGGATTTTTTCAGGCTGCTTGCTGTGGTGTGACTCACTGTTGTCACAGAACAGGCTCAGAAACCCACAGTAAAGACAGAATGTTCTCCCACATGATGTGCCAGGGACAGAGGCAATGGCTGCTGGAAACCTTGAGGCAACAGGGTCCTCTTCAAATTATTGCCTAAATTGTGGTATTTTTAGCAGCCCTCTCTCTTTCTTCCTCTCAGAAGGATAACACTTCACTGCTTATTTTGATTAATCCATTGCAGTTGTCATTATTTCATCCAGCTAATGTAATGGTTCATGGGAAATGTTAGAGACAGTTTCTTTCGCTGCTGTACTAATCTGGAAACTCATCACATTGAACCTAATCTTGAATGCATGTGAATGGTGTGTGAGCAATAGTTGACATCTGTGCTGTAGATCACTGCTTTAAATTGTTTTTCTTATTCTAATGGAAGCTATTCAGCATGTATGAGATGGTCTTCTGTTCACATAAGAAGAAAAAGAGGGTTTTCACCCTTTTATTCCTCGTTATTGATTGACCTGGAAATATGTAGATTATTTATTGTAAGGAGCAGATGTAAATTATGTGTTCCTTTGGCTGGCATTTTGCGTGCATTATATCAGGGAGGAAAGTTGAGAAGAACAGATACACAATAGATTATTTTTAGATAGATAAAATTATCACATTCAGAACTATGAAGTGCCATTACTCTGCTAAAGGACAATTAAAACATTTTTTAAAATGTCATGAACAGCTTCCAGTTCGTCTGCTGTTTTCCTTCATGACTTCTCAAGTTAAAACTGGATTTTGTTCCCAAAAGAAACAGCCAAGCTAATAATATTTTTGTTGTTGTAGTAAAATTGACATAGGGCGTTACAGCTGTCCTGCAGACACCCTTAGATAATTAAATATTGTATAATTGAGACTCAGGAAAGTTTTGCGTGTGGGTAAACACAATTCTAAATATCCAGAGTAATACTAAATGGTATGTATAATGTAAACCCAGCCTCTTTTGCTTCTGAAACCAATAATTCAAGCTAAGAAGAGTAGAGCTTGGGGGAAAATGTTTAGGCTACAACTCCCAGAATCCATTGGTCAGGCTGGTGAAGGATTCTGGGAATCGCAGTCCCCAAAAATAACTTTTCCAGGGCTTGATCAACACAGTACACTTTTGTGAAAGTGTTTATGCTTCACAGAAATTGATGTACGTGTTTATCATGCCTATCAGTTTTCTAAAGTGCTGGTGGAATTTATTCTTATTCAATGGCCATGATTCTGTAGAAATGCTTCCCTTTTTAACATGGAAGAAACGATGGCCAGGATCCAAAGAGTTGTATGAATGGGCCAAAGGATCATTTTTTGATATTCAGCAAACACCCTGCCAAATGTCAAACCATGTTGGAGCCGGAGAGGACTCCAGATTGGTTATTTTATGGCCAGGTCATGGGCATAATGGTGCCTCCAATTCAAAAGAACTTTTTAAAAAATCCCAAAAATCTAGGAGAATGCTTAGAACTTCTGATTAAATCCAGCTCCGTGTAAACTGCAGAGAGGAAGCCAAAGGGGACATTACGTTAAAAGCAAACAATAACAGAGATATGACTAGGACGAAACTGCTTATTTAATTTTTTCTTTTTGAAAGGAACAGAAAGCAGGTGGTTAAGTTGATTTTATAGGTAAATGCCAGTATACTCGGGTGTCATTGAATACAAACAAGATGCAGACGTCCTATACGTACATGGCCTTGCTATCACATTTGAACGTGTTTAGCAGTAAGTTTTCATTTGGAGGTGGGTTGTATCTTGTATATTATAACAAACCAAATCAAGTTTTGTTGTGGCCTCAGCACATTAAAATGGCAGCATTTTCAGGTGTATATGTGTATTTTGGATCTGAGATTATTCATATGTGGGTGTTGAAACCCAAACTGGTTAGTTGTTTGGTTCATTTCTGTTGTGCAGTAAAATTTACCGTAATTTGTTTGTTTTTAGTGCCTTTTGGCATGTTAGGAAATCAAATCTCTTACAAACATTTGCTTGCTTTTTTGCCTCAAACATTGTTTTTCTTGTACGCTTTTGACCCAGCTCTCAGATTCTATCTCTGTTTGAATATGCAATTTCTCTGTATAGTGTGCTAAATAGTATGCTTATGTCATTCCCATAGGTCTATATGTTCTGTGATGGATAACTGAACATCTTTCCTTAAAGCTGTGCTGCGTACCTGCAGATGCTAAGCAGTCATTTTAAGGGGTCATGTTGGTGCTGTTTCTGTATCTCTTTCTGTATCTGCTGCTCTCTGCTAGGGTGACCCAAATTTCCACTGAATACACAGTACTGATGCTTTATGGTTGTAAGTACTGGTTCAATGCAAATGGAATATTTCCCTCCAATATCTCTTTATTCCCCCCTTGGGGTTGTACAATCATACTCTTCTTCACCTCAGGTACATCCTCCTTTTTCTGTTGAATTATGTTTTAGCTTTTAAAAGTACCTTTTTATGAACTGTAATGCAGAAATACAAATTCATAACACCTACTCTACCCCAAGTATTCAAATAATCAAGTACTAGCTTTCAGTCACTAATTTAAGGCTACTTGTTAGCTTTCGGCTTGAAACAGAAACCTTGGAAAGAAAGGGGAGAAAGGCAATGGAGAACCTAATGGATGGTTCTTACTTTCTTGGGCCCCTTCTACACTGCCCTATATCCCAGGATCCGATCCCAGATTATATGCTTATCCCTGATTATATGGCAGTGGAGACTCATGTAATCCAATTCAAAGCAGATAATCTCGGATCGGATCCTGGGATATAAGGCAGTGTAGATCCAGAGATTGCAGAATTTGTAGGCCTTTACAAAGCTGCTTTCCATTTTTAAGGTGAAAAATTGAAATAAAATAAAATGACCCTGAATTAACATGCAAAGTCTAGAACATTCTAATGAACTCACAGTTAATTTTCCCCACCTGATTTTTTACACAGTAAAATTTAGGTAACTTAGTTCTCTGATAAATACGACACATTCCTGTATTTGAAGTCTTTTATCTGTAATCACCATCACAGATTCAATTATGTACTGTAATGTTCATAGTAATTTGTGGTTGATTGTTGTGGATGAAGGGAAACTGCTATAAACCATTATCTTCGAAGAGTTAGTGGGAGAAATTGCACTGGAATTGCAAATAAGGTTTATGAGTAGAATTGGTTAGTAGGATAGAGCAATGTTACTGGTATGTTATGTCTAGCTATTTCCATAATTCAAACAGTATGCTACCATTAATGTTGCCCTAGGCTATACATAGGAAGAGAAAAACAGATTGATCACGTCTCTTTGATTATATTATTTAACACTTGTTATATTTTTGGGGTGGGCAGTTTTCCATAATGCAGGTAGCACTTGAAACACAGTGGCTAGATTGATCCAAAACAGCATTAAGCTATCGACTATAATGAATGAATGTTAATTCTATAAAAAGCTGCAAAAATGTGCACCTATTAGATTAATTAAAAATTATTTTTGGTGTGAAACCATATCTACTTCCTGCCAGGAAGGTTACATTCATATCATAGCTAGTACTTATCACTTGATAAACTTTTAAGCATATAGAAAAGGTTACTTGTTTCTGATACATATTTTTGTGTGTGTCTGGTAGTGTTTTTCTTTCTACATTGAAAATAGACATATTCATATATTTGTCACTGAGGAAAAATCACAATGTTTTCCTATTTATTTGCACTATTTAGCAAACAGTAGAAGGGGAAAATGTTTGTTTTGTAAGTGGTGTGAATATAAAAAAGTACATACATTTGTTGTGTTGACAATCAGTTATTCGTAAGCTATATGTAAGTACAATTATTGAGGTCATATGATAAGTCTTATTATTCCTAAATAGTTAGAAAGCTTTTGCTTTATTTCTTGCTTCTCAAAAATAAATCTGCTCTTTCATTTTCAGTTATCAGTATTCACCTAGGGTCCTTTCTACACTGGCCTGTATCCCAGGATCCGTTCCCAGATTATCTGATTTAAACTGGATTATATGAGTCTCCACTGCCAGATAATCTGGGATAAGAAGATAATCTGGGATCAGATCCTGGGATATAGAGGCAGCATGGAAGAGGCCTGGGGGAAAAATACTTCCAATTGTTACAGTGCGTTCTGAAGGAATAATTTTGACAGGGGAAGTGCTACCTAAAACTAAGGTTTGTTTTTATTTATTTTTCCACTGGAACAGACAAGTAGTCGTATGATTTGCAAAAAGAATAGTTAGGGAA